CTATGCCCAATTAATATTTGACAAAGGAGGGAAGAGCATACAATGGAGTCAAGACAGTCTCTTCAATAAATGGTGTTGGGAAAATTGGACAGATACATGCAAAAAGATGAAACTAGACCACCAACTCACACCATACACAAAAATAAACTCAAAATGGATAAAAGACTTAAACGTAAGACGGGAAACCATAAAAATACTAGAGGAATCCACAGGCAGCGAAATCGCAAACATATGCCGAAGGAATTTCTTCTCTGATAATGCTCCTAGGGCAATGGAAACTAAAGAGAAAATAAACAAATGGGACTACATCAAAATAAAAAGCTTTTGCACAGCAAAGGAAACCATCAACAAAACAACAAGAAGACCCACTACATGGGAGAACATATTTGCCAATGATACCACCGATAAGGGTTTAATTTCCAACATTTACAGGGATCTCATGAAACTTAACAAAAGGAAGATAAACAATCCAATAAAAAAAATGGGCAACGGACCTAGATAGACACTTTTCGAAAGAGGACATACAGAAGGCCGAAAGACATATGAAAACATGTTCAAAGTCACTAATTATAGAAGAGATGCAAATCAAAACAACAATGCGATATCATCTCACACCTGTCAGAATGGCTATCATCAACAAATCAACAAACGACAAGTGTTGGAGAGGATGTGGAGAAAAAGGAACCCTTCTGCACTGCTGGTGGGAATGCAGACTGGTGCAGCCACTGTGGAGAACAGTATGGAGCTACCTTAGAAGACTAAAAATGGAACTCCCATTTGACCCAGTGATCCCACTACTAGGAATATATCCCAAGAAACCAGAAACGCCAATCAGAAAGGATATATGCACCCCTATGTTCATAGCACAATTCACCATAGCTAAGATTTGGAAACAGCCTAAGTGCCCATCAGCAGATGAGTGGATTAGAAAACTGTGGTACATATACACAATGGAATACTATGCTGCGGTAAAAAAAAGGGAACTCTTGCCTTTTGCAACAGCATGGATGGAACTGGAGAGCATTATGCTAAGTGAAATAAGCCAGTCAGAGAAAGATAAATACCACATGATCTCACTCATTTGTGGATTATAGATAACAACATAGACTGATGAAAAGGGACAGACCCAAAGACTGAGAAACAGCGATCAGGCTATCAATCCCCAGCAGGAAAGTAGGGGAGGGCGGGGGTAAGGGGAAGAGATCAACCGAAGGACTTGTATACATGTATATAAACCAAACCAATGGACATGGACAACAGGGGGATGGGAGCATGAGTGTGTGGGGCGGGGGGGGGGGGGGAGGTTGGGGGTTAATGGGGGGGATGAGGACACATTTGTAATACCTTAACGAATAATAATAAAAAAAAATGAAGCATAGATAGAACATTTTAAAATAATAAATTAATTTTTAAAGAAAGAAAACGGACAAAAATTTATATATATATATAAAAATTTAGGGACTGGAAAAACTACCTTAACAGGAAAACCAGAAGATTTAAAAAGAAAAGATAATTTTATCTGACTGTATAAATATTTAAAAATAAACACCAATAGTACCTTTATGTTTTCATATGCATTTCTTTTTCCAGATAATTCATTTTTAATTTACAGAAGTACTGATTCTTTATTACAGCTTGAGAAGCACTGAATTAGATTATTTGTCCATCTGTATTCTGGGAAACTGGAAGATAGAGCTAAAAGTTAGATCAAGTTGGAACATTTTTGGCTAGGATATGTCATAGATGGTATGTAAATCATATTGCATTATAAGAAACATATAGTATTTGTCCCATAATTAGTGATGCTGTACTGACCACTGGATGAGCATGATGATGATGGCTTGATCCTTCCATTGGAAAGCCCAAATCATAATCATCACATTGAAGGCCAGTAGAAGCCACTTTATGGGCTTCTGTGTCCTTTTAATAGGACCCCATTAATCTTCAAAAAATTTTCTTTGGTTCTGGCCTGAGATCTCCCTGGCTCACCTTGTATGTCAGCCCCGGACTGATATAAGCTATTTCCTCAAGGAGTCCTGGGTGCTCTTTTCTACTGGTTGGCAATGTTTTTAGCCATTGAAATCTGGACAGCTAGAAAAGAAATGTATTTTTAAAAATCATTCATTCATGATAATATTTTCAATTCTGTTCAACATTACAATGTTTTACTTTGTTCTTTGATTTTTCTAATTAGGTCTTTTTAATATTTTACTGAAATTCTGGATAACATTGTTAATCTAAAAGTGTGCTTATCCTGTAGTATGAAGAAATTTTCAAAGAAAACACTACCTAAAAAATGACTGAGCAAAATTTAAAATGTCTTTTTAGTTCTTTTTGTCTTTGGATCTTCTGAACTGTGTTCTAACATCACTCAAAATAAATCATTTTTAGGTATACAGCTAATTTTTTTCAATTGGTTTTCAGTTTTAGGGATTATTTTCTAAAAAATAAACATTTTGAAAATTTTCACATGTACATCCTTTTGATATCTACTGTATTACATATTTTCATGTACTTTACTCATATTTATCAATACTAACCCCATAACCTGCTACACTTTTATTTTCTATTCTCAAATATAAAGAATAATAGATTATCTGCAATTAATATACTCAGTATTATTTACCCCCTAAAAAGCAGAAAGGGAAATCAAAGACATATGATGCATTGTGTCTATTTTCTAGTTTTTATTGAGCTTATCTTGATTTAATTAATTCAGTTTATTAGGGCATGTGACATAAGCCAGTATTTACTCTGAGGGATTAAATAGATAATAATTCAGTGCTTTATATGTGAGAGAAAAAGTTTTCTTCCTCTAATGTTTGATAAGCATTATGTGTGCATATGTTTGTATATATATATAATGTCTTATGTGTTCTGCACTTATAGGTCAGTTGATTGACACCATAATGAATGTGTTAATAATAAAATATTTCATCCTGCCTGAGATACCAGTAACAAATTTGATGACATTACTTGAGGAAATATTTACTGTAATATTGTGAAATTGTAAAAGCATGCTAACTATTGGGAATATAGCCTTGAGCCAACCAGAGTCCTTGAACTCATGGAGCTTATATTGTGACTAGAGGCCCGGTGCACAAATTCATGCACTGGTGTGGTCCCTAGGCCTGGCTGGCAATAGGGGCCAATCGGGGGTCCATCTCACCTAGTCCTGATTGGCCTAATTGGTGCCAGGAGGTTAGCCAGCTGGCCCGATCAAGGCCGTTCAGGGCCTGCCAGCTGAGGTGAGGGACCGTGGGAGGTTGGCTGGCCACGGGAGGTTGGCTGGCCACGGGAGGTTGGCTGTGGGAGCGCACTGACCACCAGGAGGCAGCTCCTGCATTGAGCGTCTGCCCCCTGGTGGTCAGTGCACATCATAGCTACCAGCTGGTTGTCCAGTCATCCCATTGTCTGGTCGTAATGGTTGCTTAGGCTTTTATATATATATATATATATATATATATATATATATATATATATATATATATATAGTGAAAATAATGAACAAACAAATCCGACCTTCTCAACTTCCTACCATACTACCAAACATCAGCAATTCCAAAACTTAGGTAGTAATTCTGAGGTTGCTAATTCTGTCCCCTGTCTAGCCTATCACTTTACTGTAACTATTTGAAGATTTCCATCAGGCTTTCCAGGTGTATATATAACGGTACCCAACTGAAATTATAGAATATAGTTTTTAAAGAATTTTTAAGAAGAAACAAAATGATATAAATATGCCTGTTTTGAAAAATCTGTATTTACAAGAGATGTCTCAGCTATTTATTTTTAGTTTAAAAAAGTATTATTTACCTTATAGAATAATGTATCTAGGATTACTTTTAAAGAATAAGTTTCCCTAGTGTATTTCAAATGATTCAATTTACGAACATCCTATTTACATACAAGCTGCCTCAAATTCTTATTAGAATTTATTTTATCAGTATGAAGCACTCTAATATAAGTTGTAAAGAATAACAATAAAGAAAATAATCTTCAGTTACATTTTATCTAACTTTATCTGAAATAACTTAAGATGCATCAGGATATAAATATATAAATTTAATTAAATAAAAAGCAAAATATCATATAGTCACAAATATAAATGTGGCAGGGTGGAATTTTTTTACTTTATAACCACCACCACGCCCAGTCTTTTTTCATCAGGCTTGTTAGAATGAAGAGACAAAAAGGACTTTCTTAGCATAACACACATAGTTAGGTTCTGCTTAAAGTGTAGGAAACAATAGCATGAGAAATGTTTTTCTTGTAGATTTGTTAATTTCATAGGATGCCCAGGAGAGCAAGAACTGATGAAAAGAGAAGAAAACTGGGTGAAACCAATTGGGAGGTAGGACCCTGTGGGTGAATAGATAAAAAGGTAAGAGAAGGTACTACCAGGTGTTCCTCTGAGGAAGACTGATAGCCAAGGATCTTGATAAGACAAATAAAGGGCTTTGTTCTCTTATAGACTCCGGTTTGTATGTTCACCTTTGTATAATTAGATATTCTTTCTGGCAATGATTGCACTTTCCAAATGTTAAGGGTGTGATTATCTTTAGCAGTGAGGAAGGCAGGTTAAGGTTAGGACAGGTGGTCATGCTGTGGTGGGGAGCTTTCTTAGGACTAAGGACTGTGTGAAAGCCTGGAATCTGTCAGGCTCCACTTGGTAGAAGAGTCTTCTGATAAACATTTCTCTTTTCCAAACACTTCCCACCAATAGACTCCAGCAGCCACTTTGCTTGCTGAAGAAAACCACTTAGCTACAATTAAATGAAAAGGTTTAAAATTACAATGGGATTTGTGTTAACCAACTCAACTCATCCGCACTGAATTATAACTAGGTAGTCTATTAATAGTCTGTACAATATGCAGTTCTTCCCAGGTTTGATAAGAGGAGAATAATGGTCATCTAAATGGGAGAGTACCAGGAGGGAAAAAGATGAAAAGATTTTAAAGAAGACAGACAAAACAAAGGCTTCACCATTTTGCCTAGGTTGGACCTAGTGACCTTCATTTGGGTAAGGAAAACAATCTGTTCAGAAGTCTTTCTGAATTAACTGCTGGTATTTATTTTCCACTTGGCATCGTATGTGAATCATTTCTTTTAAAACATATGCCAACTCATTTCAAAGGGAGCTTTGTTCTCCGATGATCCATTAATTGAGGTATCACTGCAGAATTTGGAACAAAATTCAATTTATATTGTAGAACTCCTTAGTGTGGTTCATTTTTCAGTCCCTTCTCTTGCCCTGTGCCTCCAAATGCAGTTCTCACTGCCAGAGCAATCTCAGAAGATTCTGTAGCAAGTTCTCAGAGGCCCATTGTGCAGTAACAAAGAGTTCTGGCCGTAAGCTGTAGGTTCCGTCCTTCCCTGCTCTCCCAAGTGGAAGGCTGCCCTCACCCCTCACTAATGGGAGAGAAGGACAAGCATTGCTCAGGCCTGCAAGCTTGCCAAGCCAAAGGAACCGAAGCAAGAACTCATCATGCCAATCAAACCTATTGGGTGGATATGTGGGCAGGTGTTGAAGAACTTTTCTGGAAGAAGTAAACACAAGCTTGTGAAGGGGATATGGGTGTGGGAAACGGAATAAAGCCCCCTAGGGTTTGCTTGTTTTTCCAGCCACCTAAGCAGTGGACCCAGTGTTCCCTGTTGTGTTGAATTATGGTTAGGGGATATTTTTTAAGATTCCCTCCCCCCTTTAACTTCTTTTTGTCTTAGTTGAGGGGATCCAGAAAACAATCATGGACCTTGTAGATGAGTTTAAAGATGATATTTCTACCATCCCACGAGTGTCACAGTCTAATCAGGTAATGTGATCTCATAACTGAAAAGAATTGTAAGAAGTATATTGTGTTTTTAATATCACACCAATTATTTAATGCTTGATTTTGAGGTCAGTGTTTCAAGATTAGAAAAACATTAATTTCACTTCATCCCCCTCCCCCAAACACACACACACACACACACACACACACACACACACACACACACACACATTTTAACTCTTACTCATTGGGAGAGATTGGGGACAAAGAAGTAAAGTAGATAAACTAAGTTTAAAGACAGTCACTGTGTTAGATTGAAAAACTAGAACGCTCTCAGCCACAATTGTGATGTAGTTTACTTATATTTGCTTGCTATAAAATCAGAAAAATACCTAAATATGCTTTCATTAAAATCTCTGGCACTTAAATCAGTGAAAAAACTGACATAACTGACTTAAATTATACCAAAGGAAAGATAAGTATATGTGTGTTAAACATCTGTTCCAAAAAGGATTTGAAACAAAATTTTGGGATTAGAAGAGGGATAAGAGAGAGAATTTTATAGTCAAGAAAAAGTAACATGTGTAGGGGACACATGTAACCTGCTTTACTTAAAAGTACACAGCTCTCAATGGAAGTGTTGTTTCAGTCATTTTGACCACAGTTGGAATGGCATGCGTTGTAAAGTTAGGTGGTACAGTAACAATCTACTTATCCAAAAATCAGACTTTTGGCAATGTCAAACATGAAAAACATAGCCGAAACCTGGAAGTAAACAAAAAAAGCACTCTGAGTAACATACTGTAATCACAAAATCTATATATTTCATTCTAGAGAAGGAGGTATTAGAGCTACCTTTAACCATTCATCCAGACACCCAGGCATCAGACTGGTATTTAGTATTTTACTAAATACTACAGTATGGGACTGAGGAGAGGAAATACAGAGATAAACATGATAGGATTCTTCCATTCATTGTGCTTAATCTAGTGGAGACTAAGTATAAACAAGTAATTGCATTAGAATATGGGAAGAGGTAAATCCAGTTTAGAGGAATAAAGGACTCTACCTAGAATGGCCAGAGAGGGCTTCATGCCGGAAAGATGCTTAAATTGAGTGTCAAAGGATGAATAGGAGTTTACAAGGTGAGCAAAGGTGTAAGTGGGCAGGAGCAGAGAAGAATATTTCAAAGGAAGCAGTGTCAGACCAAAAAGTATTAAGCATCATGTTCCCAGAATGTCGAGTATATATGAATAAATGGCATGGGTCTTGGGTCTAGACCTTGGGGAGGGGTGACACTGAAGAATAGTTATCTGGATGCATAGCGGTCAGATGGCATCCAGACGGAGGTCATCTAAGTAAGGTAAAATAAGGCCTACGAGCTCCAGAAGGCAAGTTGGATTTTGTAGTACCATATCTTAGACTTGGTGTTCCCTTTGATTCCCCTCTTTACATTCCCCTGGTCTTGGTATAAGTCTTTTGAAGCATTGGAGAGTTTTCTTGGCTATGGCTGGAGCATTAAGAGGTGAGCAGGTGGCTGTGCTTGTTCTGGGATGTAAAATGCTTTGGGCCAGCACAGTCGTGGCAGTAATTATTGAGAGAGCCTCGATGACTCTTAGGAGGCCAGACACAGACCAGGAAAGCCCCACTGCCCCTTCCAGCTGTGATTCTTCCACAATTGCCAATGTTAGAGACCAGGGATTTTATTTAATCAAAGAAGTTTCAGGTTTCTTTACAACTCCTTTCATCTCTTCCTGCCTTCTGCATAGCCTCATTATCACTAGAGTCGCACCATGCTTTCTGGTGAAGTAGATTGGTATTCTAATCCTCAAAGAAAGAACTCTTCTTAGTTCCAATTCACTGAAGTAATTTACTTATAAAAACTTTACCCCACTCAGAGAATATAAACATAGTTAAAAGTTCTTCATTTCTCATTTTCAAAACACTTAATATTGTTCTTTTCCACCATTTACTGTGAAGAATGTGTTACTGAGATTGGCAGGGAGCCAAAATAGTTAGGAGATGTGGTAACACATTGAAGTTATTTGCTCTTCAAAAATAAGTTATCCAGAAAACAATGCTAATACTTCATTGTTAACTAGATTATTTTTAAAAGGTCATATTGTAAATGTTGCAAATTTTATTATTTTTATAATTCTCTTTAGTTCCCAAACATACTAAAAGGAATGAAGGCTTTGCCCTACCTGGTTTGGCTCAGTGGATAGAGCATCGACCTGCGGACTCAAGGGTCCCAGGTTCGATTCCAGTCGAGGGCATGTACCCTGGTTGCAGGCACATCCCCAGTAAGGGGTGTGCAGGAGGCAGCTGATCGATGTTTCTAACTCTCTATCCTTCTCCCTTCCTCTCTGTAAAAAATAAAATATATATTAAATAATAATAATAAATAAAAATAAAAGGAATGAGGGCTTTATTAATTGGATTATATTTTAAATCTTTAAACATTGTGATTAGTATTTAAATAATTTAAAAATTATTATTTTAGGCATTTGTTTATTTAGGAAAAGGCCATCTTGCTGGCCTGGGGCAAAAAAAAAAATTGATGGGAATAATGGAGTTTTTATAGAGAAATCTACCTGACCATAACTAGGATATTCTATAATTCAGTTATATTTTTATTTTTGGTGGTTTGTTTCTTATAGGGCACTATCATTATTGTGAAAGTTACAAACTACATTTGCACTGAAAACTTTCTGGGTGGTTTCTAATTTAATATTTGGTATATTTCTATGATATTTCTCATTATTGTGATTTTTTTTCTGATACTCATCATTCATTCATTTTAACTTGCATTTATAGAGCACCTACTGTGTGCCATCTTTCCAGACACTGAGGAAAGATGAGTAAGTGAAGTGGATATAAAACACTGTCATAGAACTTAAATCCTAGTCAAGCAAAAACACAATAAACAAGAAAAGAACATATGTTAATGGGTTTTAAGGAGAAGAAAAAATACAGCATGGAAAAAACATGAAGTAAGGGTAGGGATTACAATTGATGGTTAAGACTCTAGAGGGTCTTAGTGAGAAAGTAATTCTTGAATTAAGACTTAAAGCAAGTGACGAAGAGAACGTTGGTATCCTTGAGGGATCAAATGGCATAGCTAAGGCAAAGTTCCTGAGGTGGGGGTATACCTAACAAGTTCAACAAGTAACGAGGAGGAAAAAGGAGAGAAACAGATGAGGTGGCCAGAGAGGTAAAGAAGAGACAACCTTTGTAGGGCCTTGTCGACCGTGGTATGTACTTTGGCTTTAACACTGAGTGTACCAGGAAGCCAGCGAAGCAGTTGAATAGAAGAAAAGCAAGATATGACCTGACATACGTTTTCATTGTAGCTCTCTGGCTGATGTGTTGGGGAAAAGAATGAAAACAGGCAAGGTCAGAAGCAGGGAGACCAGTGAGGAGGCTAATTCACAATCTCCAGACGAGATGATGGTGATATATAAATACAATGGACTGGGCATTGGTATTGGGACAGTGAGAAGTGGGCTATTCAGAAAAAGAATTGAGTAAAATTTGCTGACAGGCTGGCTTTATAGATGTAGGGTAGTAAAAAGCTGGCATAATAGAAATTGGAGTTCAGCATTAAAACTGCTGATGATAGAGAAATGGGCCTGGCTCTAGGGAAAATTAAAAAGAAAAGGGAAAGCAGGATATGTATTGAAAGGATGGAGCTCAAATCGAGAAATATTTTGAACCAATCTGATTAAGTTTCTTTTGGTAAATGGTCTTTAAGTACCTGTCTCTGAGGTGATGGTGGTGGTTGGAATTTCTTTTCTGACATTTGCTGATACGCTCAGATGAAGATAATGATGACAAAAATAATCATCTAAACTTGCATATTTTGCAACCAATTCAAGGATCCTTACTTATGCCAAGAGTGAAAAAAAAATGAGGGAAAAGAAATGAGGACTTCTTAATTTGGAGTCACCATTTAAATTTACACACACAGCTAGGTAAGAAAATATATAGCATAGATAATAGACAAAAAGAAAAAGCTGGTAGCTCAAAAAAAGGGGGGGAATGTTTTATTTAAATTTTTTCTATTAAAGCTAGTTTTAAAAGTAACTAATTGGACTCATTAACTTAAACTGTTGACTGGTTGTTGTTTTTTTTAAAAAGAAGAATGTCTCATTCTCCATCTAAATGAATGTAAGTAGCTGTCTTCTGCTGTCACTTTCGTATTCCAGAGACTCGAGGAACCACCGGACATGCACCCAGTGCCTGTTTGGTTTCTAACACTGTTCTTAAGAGCAGTAACAAGTTGATTCCGTGTTTTGTGGCAGGGAGAGTGGAGGTGATCAGAAACAGTTTGTTGTCAGAAGTAATTCTTTCCGAGGTATCTAAGAAAGTATTAAAAAAGAGAAAGCATTTTGAAAACTCCGAAAGGCCCTAGCCAGTTTGGCTCAGTGGATAGAGCATTGGCCTGTGGACCAAAGGGTCCCAGGTTCGATTCCAAAGGCAAGTACCTCTGTTGCAGGCTCCTCTCTGTCCCCCAGACCCTGGTTGGGGCTCATGCAGGAGGCAATCGATCGATGTGTTTCTCTCACATCAATATTTCTCTTCGTCTTTCCCTCTCTCCACTCTCTCTAAAAATCAATGGAAAAATATCCTCGGGTGAGGATTAAAAAAAAGAAAAAAACAAAACTCTGAAAGGAAGCACAGTTATTAAATTGAAACCATTTGAACATTAAAGGAAACAAAGATGAGGAACAGGTTAAGTCTGTTGGAAAAAGCCACGAATTCACGATGAGACTAAAAAGAGAAAGATAATAAAAAGTGCATGAAAGCATTATTGTAATACACACTTGAATTTTTAAAAATATTGTGTATAATAAATGCTATATTTTGCTCAACACAAATATGTGAACCCTACAGGAGAGTTTTGACTAACAGATAATCAGTTACAAATCAGCTTAATTTCCTACAGAGAAAAATTTAGAAAGACAATTTGGAAAAGAGGGGAAAGTTAAATGGCTCAATTTAGTATAGTGTTTGGGGGAATTAATCAAGATTGTTTAATAGAAATACACATATAAATTCAGTGCATGGTCAATGTGTACAGATCACCAACATTTTATAAAGAAACATAAAATAAAAAGAGGAAAAGTGTAGAATGCTAATGTTTTGCAACTGCAAAAATGAAGGGTTCCTAAAACACTGAATGATCAGGTAGAGGAGGTGTCAGTAAAGGCAGAACAACTGCACATGTCCCATTCCTGATCGCCCTGGCGCTGTGGCCCTCATCTTGATGATTAGAAATTGTAATGAGAGAAAGCACAGTATATTGTAATCAGAATGTACTTATTCTAGCTGCTTCACCTTGAGGAGGAGTTGGGAGGAAGAATCGGTGCAGTGTGGGGATGGGAAGTCCTTCCTCTGTCCCTCTTGAGTTCTTATAGCTGGACTAATAATAAAATTGGCACAAGACCAGACAACAAAAAACAAAAAAACAATTAAAGGCATGCAAACAGATCATCAACGATGCTCAGAGAAATGACCGATGCAGGCAGCTTTTTACATCTTGTAGACAAAGAAATAAATTGTGAAGAATTATCATGATGAAGGAACTTAGATTTGGGTACTCATTAGTGAGGAACCTAGTTTGGGCTTGGGTAGTAAATTAGTAAAAGAACAAAAAAGACAATTTTTTTAATACACACTTCTCAGCCCTGAATTCCCTAACTCTGGTGATAAGGATGTGTCTCATTAGACTCCAGGTGCAGGAATAGAATTTTTCACATTGGAGATTTATCTCCTGCTTTCAGGGAGAGAGAGGAGAGAGAGAGAGAGAGAGAGAGAGAGAGAGAGAGAGAGAGAGAGAGCCCAAAGTTGTTTTGCACTAGCAGTTTCTTAAGTAATTTTAATTCAAAATAATTGATATGCCATTGTGGGATATTTTGGGGTGGCCTTCCCTACGTCCTGACAGCAGCAAAGCATAAGGTCACAGAGGACTTGAATCTGTATGTGCAGGAGCTTTGGATACTGCAGACAATGTGGTTCCTCTCCCTGGTATGGGTACGCTCACAACCCGAGTTGATTGCACCTCGTACTATTTTGCTTGCTCTATCTACCACATATTTGCTTGTAAGAATGGCTCTATTCTATAATGGTTTGGAATTGTAGCAGTCCATAATTTAGATTGCATTTTCTGCTGTTGTATAGACTAGCAGGGTTAAGATCACAGGTGAGCCAATGGGACTTTTCCATAAAGTTAACAGATTAAACCAGCACATGCTGCAGAAATACATCCTCATTGACAGACTAGAATGGCTTTTTATTTTTATTTCCCATGGCAAAGCTGACCAGTAAGAGAAGACTGAACTTTGAGGACAAAAGCAACAATAATAAAATTATTACTTCAGGATGAAAATTGAGGTATTTAAAATATACAGCATGTTAGCTCTTAGACAAATATATACTCGTAATGTTAATTGTAGACCAAAAAATTCATTTAAAAGATGTTTTATACTTACATATTTTGACTCAACAAATAGCGATTCAAAGTTGCTTATACTAAAAAGCCAGAAAAGCCCGTAATATTACTTTAAAGAAGAATGGAAACTATACTTGTGTGTTGCCTGGAATGCAGTCTGACCACATTGCAAGTAATTTCCCTGTGATTCATTTTCTGGTAGAGCAGAGAAGTACTACATTTTATGTGTTTTGGTAATGCCACACATTTTTCAGAACGCTCATAGAATTTTTTAGAAGTGTCCTAAACTTGTTGATTAGTATATAGGGTATTTGTTTTATGAATTATGTATGTATGCTCTATTTTATCACTTAAAATGTTTAAAGTAAGCTGGGAAACACAAGTTTTGAATAATAATTATCATTTGAATAATTCAAACATCGAATAATATTTGAATAAGAATTGTTTATTTTTTAAAGACCTCTTAAATATCGATGCAAAAAAATAAATAAACCTAGAGAGAAAAGTGGAAAAATGTGTATCTTTACAATAATAACTGAAATTCTGGATAGTTATCCTAAGGAACAATTCATATATTCATGTAGAGATTTGAGTACGTAGTGGGGTCTGTGAGTGGTAGGGGTGCGATATCCTCAGTAAACATGGAGTGCATGCCTGGGACCATGCACAGTGCACAATTATGTGGTACTTGTTCTCTGCTAAAGTAGATTTTAATTCTCTGGAGAATCGCACATCAGTCACTTTTCAAAGGCTTATTTTCCAGAAAAGAGAAACCATGAAAAAGCCATCTAAAGTCAAAATGGCCATTGCTTTAGCCAAGATCAACCGAGGAGCATTAATTCAAGGATTGAACAGCATATCCAGATCCTCCAAATCAGTGGCCAAACTCCTGCAGCCTCGACTTGCTTGTAGACTTTTAGAGTTAAGGTGCATATCTCACCGCCTGCTGAGGGAAGTTAACGCACCAAAGCAACCCCTGTATAACATACAGGTGAGTGAATGTTACATTTGCACAAGATATGGATCCTTTTGATAGAAAATTGCAAGATTTGAAAAATGTAGGACACATTTGATTGTCCTACATGTAAAACAAGAATAGTTGGATAAGAGAAATGAATAGTTGGGTCTTTTTCCAAGTATATTCTCTGGTTTAAATAAATCTGAAAGAGGAAGTAATGTGGACTTTTCCTATCTCGTTATTTAATTGAATTATATAAAACTATCAATTTCAAATGTTTCATCCTAAATATCAGTCTACAAATTACTACTAATGTCAAACCTAAAATCCTACGACAAACCTTAAAAATGATCGTTTTTTCATTTCCCCATAAACTATGTTTCCAAGTTCATCTTTGACTGACATAATGTATTGAGTATATTTAACTATGCACTCATTTTGATAGACCTATCAACATCCAGGTATATTTCAGATTATATGTTCTACATTGCTTCATTGAGGCTCTGATAAAGGATAACAGTTCTTACAATGTTTTGGGGACTTTTTCCCCCCTAAACTTTATGTCACAGAACTCTGGATTTTTCAATCTGGACATTATTTAAAGCATTCTAAATATTTGTTACAAAAGATTTAGAGTCATGCAAGTCTGGCATCTAATCAATCCCCAGAACAGATTGATTTTAATTCTTTTGTTGAAGGGAGAGAAAACCTGGCTCAAACTGAGTTCAGCCAAAAAGGAGATGTATCAGTTCATGTAGTAGTTGAACAACAGAGATGATAAGGTTTCGGGCATAGCTGGATACAGGTGCTCAAATGAAGCCTTCAGGATCCTGTTTCTTTCTCTCGGCCGCCTGGTTCTTCTTCCCGTGTTGACGCCTTTCTCAGACTGATATTTCTCTCATGATCACATGATGATTTGCAGCTGTTCCAGGGTTTCATCCTTCCAGGCTGAATTACAGCAGAAAACAATGAGCATCCTTAACTCAGCATTCCTGGCCAAGCCTGAGATTCACTCTTGGAGAATGGCTTATGTCTAAACCAGGGGAATGGTAATCACTGATTGGTCTAGAACTCAGTTACCTGCAGCATTCCCAGAGTGGGGGTTGGAACTCCATCCAGACCACATGACCTGAGAAAGGGGAGAGGATGAATCCTCATACAAAAATCTGGGTTGTTTTGAGCTGAGAAAATGGATAATGGATGGGATTGCTAAAATGAACAAAATATTCATCATACAGGAATTTCTCTAATCAAAGATTTTGCCATTTCCAGAAATCATCAGATAGTTCAACTATGAACTGCCTGAGACAGCATTATAAAGGGCTGTCTTAATGATACCTGATGTTTGAGAAAGTAAAAAATGATTTTTTTGTGCATCTTTAGATCATCAAAAAGAAATATAGCTGACTCATATTATTTTAAATTCCCATCAAAATGTCTGTCTGAATCTAATGTTTTGCCTTGACATTTCTTTCCTTGCATTGTTAGATCCAACGTTTTTACAGAAGATTGATGTAAAAGTGTCCTTTGAAGACCATTTCTGTATTCATTATGAAATCATGTTTAAAGGGACTGTCCATTACATTATTCATAGTCTTTCCCTTTGCTCCTCTTTGCTGTGAAGGATGAGATTTTTACATTATTTACAAGCTAACAACTTAGCCCACCACAGTTATACACACACACACACACACACACACACACACACACACACACACACTCTGACAGAGACCAGAGCCTTGTGGCAGAGACACAGATTGTTTATTATTCACAGCAAGCACAGCAACCAGAGCAATATCTTGTGTCAGTTTTCTACACTGCAGTTCCCACAGGGCAATGAGCTAAGAGCCAGCTGTTATCTCTGCGTGTACATAGTAAGTTGCATCACAGGAGAGGAAACCTGAAATTAGGAGATTTAGCCTTTTATACGGTTGCTGGAAGTCTGCCCAGTTTGGTGGGGTTGGGGGAGAGGGAGAGAGAGGGAGGGAGAAGGGCATGTGTCTCTGGAGGGGAAGGCGGAGAGGCCTTTATTTTTAGTGCCCTGTGACATGTCTTGGGGAGTACATCACTAGATCTCTCCAGAGGAATATACTTTCTTTCAAAATTGTTTGCTATTCAACCATGTCCTTTTCTCAGAAGATCCAATCTGTCCAGGGCTGAAAGAAATCTTTGGAGAACTGAATGCCTATACTCATGAAAATTCAGTGGCAGAAAAATAATCTCTATTTTCTGTTGAATTTGTGTTTCCTTTAATATTAAGAAAACCACAATGTGTTTGCCTTTTTGCCTTGATTGACAGTGAGTTTCACAGGTAAATTTACAGCTTAGTTGTGATAACTTATTCCAGGAACCTGAGATGAGAGAAACAGGTTGAAGGATTAAATGACTTATCTAAAGTCCACATGCTGACTCTGACTCTCTTTTGACATCTATTCAAGATCAACACCTATGCCATCTCTTCTCCTTTGTTCTTGTTGTAATTGTCTTAGGACATAGCTTTAATTTTTAAAATCCTTATCAATAAAATATTTCAAAATATGTGAAAGGTAGTTTATCAGAAGTTCCATCAGTATTTACCTGGTAGTAATATTCTGCCATATTGCCTTCAGAAATCTCCTTTATAAAAAGAAATATAATTAACCATGCCCCAATCCTGTCCCCTTTTTCTTTCTACCAAACTTAATCATTATCCTGATGTTGCTGTGAACATTTCCATGCATATGTTTTTATTTTCACTACATTTGTATTCATATATTTTACTGTGTATACTTAAAATTTATATAAAAAGGTATGCTGTACTTATCTTTTTGAAACTTCCTTTTTTACTCAAAATTTATATATGTAGCTGTGATTTATTATTTTAACTTCTTTGGGGTATTATATTATAAGAAAAAAACAATTCACAGTTTATCTGCTACTAGACAGATGGATAATTTAGTTTCCAAATTTCTTGTATTACAAGTAGTGCTTCAGTGAACATTCTTGTAAATAACTCCTCATGCATATGTATGAGACATTCTCCGGATGTATATCTGGAAGAGGGATTGCTGGGTCATGAGGGATGCACGACTTCATTTTTATTATCTATTAGAGGCCTGGTGCATGAATTCATGCATGGGTGGGGTCTGGCCACCCATCCTGATGGGGGCTGAATGGGGCTGGGTCGGGGGGGGGGGGGAGGGGCCGTGGGAAGTTGGGGGGCCGATTGGGGCCCTGATCAGGCCGGTTGGCTGCTGCAGTATGTGTCATAGCAACCAGTCATTCCAGTTGTTCAGGTCATTCCGTCATTATGGTCATTTGGCCTTTATATATATAGATTGTCAAATGCTTTTTAGATTCAGTACACTTGGGGATCATTGTGATTCTTGAATCTCAGGATAAATTCTTCAATTCTGAAAAATTCTTAGTCATTATTTCTTTAAATATTACATCTTTCTCATTTTCTCTAATCTCTTCTTCTGGAATGCCTATTAAAATATGCTTAGAGTCTTCTCACTTTATTCTTTGTCTATGTAATGTCCTCATATTTTCCCTTTATCTTTCTTAAATGCACTTTGAATAATTTCCTCTGAGCTATCCTCCAATTAATCAATTCTCTCCAGCTGTATCTAATATGCTATTTTACTTATTTAATGTGTTTTAAATTTCAAACATTATACTTACCATTTCTAGAAGTTCTATTTGGTGTTTTCCTCAAACTTCCAATTTTTATTTCTTTTCAAAGTGTCTTTTATGAGTTTGTTTCTTTTTTAAAAAATCTAATTATTTTAAACACACTTCTATGTGGTCCTTTAAAAGATTTTTCTATGAGATATTTGGGGGATGCTAATCTTCCTGACTATTGTGATATAATGTCTCACTCATAGTAGATAATTTCTTTTGGTGTTTTGTTTTATTTAACTGAAAGTTTTTTTTTCAATGGGGATTTTTTAAAAATAGAAATTCCTTGTCTCTTAGAACTGTTCCTCTAAAGGATTCAGCTAGTGCTCCAGGCATATCGGCCCCTGGTGGAGCCCAGCTTCCTTACTTTCTTGACTGGTGGGTGCACTTGTCCCAGTCCCACTTTCACTGAGACTCTCCAAAGGCCTACTCCTCACCTCATGTGTATCCAAGTCTCATCTCTAGCCTCTTTGTTGAAACTCAAGCCCCAGCCATTATTTCAGGGTCCAATAACATCCCCAGAGCTCCTGGGATATAAACTCAGACACTTACTCTTCCAGTTTTTAGTTTCCTCTTTGTTCCTGGCAAGCAGATTTCCTTCCTTCTTCCTTCCCTTCTTCCCTTCCTCCCTCCCTCCCTCCCTCCCTCCGTCCCTCCCTCCCTTCCCTCTTTCCTCCCTCCCTCCCTCCCTCCCTCCCTCCCTCCCTCCCTCCCTCCCTTCCTTCCTTTCCTTCCTTCCTTCTTTCCTTCCTTCCTTCTTCTCTTCCCAGTTTTATATTGCATTTTTGTTGTACAAATTTACATAGAATTTGTAGGTTGTGTGTGTGTGTGTGTGTGTGTGTGTGTGTGTGTGTGTGTGTTCATTAACTCTGCCATGTTGCTGGAACCAGATATCCTTCAGCTTTGTTTTGTTTGTTTGCTTGTTAATCCTCACCCAAGGATATTTTTTTATTTTTTCTGTTGATTATTTTAGAGAGTGAAAGGGAGAGAGGGAGGAAGGGTGTGAAGGAGAGAGAGAGAGAGAGAATGAGAGAGAGAGAGAGAGAGAGAGAGAGAGAGAGAGAGAGAGACATTGGTGTGAGAGGGACACATCAATTGGTTGCCTCCCACATGAGCAGCTGGGCCGATGGAAACTGCAGCCCAGACACAAGCCCTTGACCAGGAATTAAACCCAGGACCCTATGTCTGAGGACTGATGCTATAACCACTTAGAAACACCAGCCAGGGCCTGTTTTATTATTATTATTTTAAATTATTGATTGATTTGAGAGAGAAGAAGGGGAAGAGAAGTGTGTGTGTGATGGGGGCAGGGTATTGAGATATGTTGTTCCACTTATTTGTTCATTGGTTGATTCTTGTATGTGCCCTGACCAAAGATCAAACCTGCAACCTTGGCATATTAGAATGACACTCTAACCAATTGAGCTACCTGGCCAGGGCCCAGCTTTCCTTCTTAATATCTTTTATAAATTTCAGTATAAGATGGTTGAATTTGGTTTTGGAAGTAAGTAAAGTATAATTCTACTTTTTCATTTATTCAACAAATACTTTTGAAAACCTGACATGTAAAATCATTAGCTTCGGTAGTAGGCATTTATAGATGTCTTGTCCTGGGCCTATGAACTGTGGGTGTTATAAGCAAGCAAGCAGTGCTAGTAGATTGTAGCAATTACATCATCAAAGTGTGCAAAGTGCACTATGGAAGCATCAACAAGGGGCATGTCATTCCAAAGAGTAGTCAGTGTAGGCTTTCCAGAAGGTGATACTTGACCTGAGACTTGAAGTAGGAGAAATTAGCCTTGCAAAGGGAGAATCATTCCAGGAAGAGAACAGTGTATATTAAGATGCTGAAGCAATCAAGAGCATGCCTTAGGAAGTGTAAGTAGTTTTAAATGGCTGGAGTGAGACAAGTGGGAAAGTCCCAAATCAGAGGTTCCTGGGCCCTTGAGGGTAGGAATGAGGAAGAAGCTTTACTTGGGGAATGTGCATTAACTAGGATGTAGAATCAGAATTGCCACTGAAAGGAAACTAACTTGTTTCAAGGAAGAAAACAACATACTGTATCTCAAATCTGAAAGTCTCAGTGATGACTAAAAGAGAAGTATGAACAGTGAAGACAATGGCCTGGAGAGTCAAAGGAACAACAGAATAACATATGTGATGTGGAGGTCAATGGATCAGTCAATGGCGCCAAAGTGTGTCAAGATGTAAGTGGCATAGCACAGAGGAGCTATACCAGCCCTGCTACACTGCTTGGCTGCCTTCCCAACGTGACGGAGTTCAGCTTATGCAGAGTGAATTGCAACATGAATTCTTTCAAGATTTGCCAGGCTGCCTGTGTCAAGGTGGAACTTTGTGGTGTGCAGAAGTAAAAGGAGTGAAATCTGGAATACTTTGCAAGCAGATATGCTTTACGGATACATGGAGGACATGGCTTTATGTAGGAAAGCAAGCAGCCTCATTAAGCTATCTTTAGGTATGTTCAAAGGCCCTCTTCATGTGCTCTGTCTCATCTCTGATGAGAGGATGGTGTACCCAGAGCACCTTGAATGATTCTACCAAAGCTCTGTTGGATATTATGTGGGTGGGAACACCAGTCAGGCAGATTGCCGTCCTCAAGAACATAAAGTATTTTCATTAGGACACTGACTATATATCTCCAATTCAAAGATACTAGTATTGTGCCAAATATGAAATACCCAAAGGCCCAACTGATACAGGTGACCTGAAGGGTCTGGTGGCTTGTTGTGACATGAGTGAGCACAGAGAGTTTGGGTTAGGAGGTTCCAGCTGGACATCTTGTTAAAACAGACTTCCTTGGTACCTGGCATTTGCTTTGCACCTTTGTGAGTCGGGTTGCTCCTCAAAGACTTCTAGGTTCTGCAGGGCTGAGATTGTACTGATATACTAGTATCTGCGAGTTCTAGAAGGGGCCTCAGGAATGGAAAACCAAGTGGAGAATATCCTGATGGTTTTCCACCTTCCCAGCACCAGTGCTCACGGATTGGTGCATCTGCTAAGCCTTGTAAGCTGCTCTAAGCTGCAGTGACCTAGATAATTAGCTTGAATGCTGACTTGGGCCAAGACACGTCAGCTCCCAGACATAGTTGTTGACTTTGGCAGGCCAAGCAGGGCCACAGGACCGGGAGCACTTCCGGCATTAGAGATAACTGTTTCTACTTTGTGCAGGCAAAGTGAAGAAAACAGCCTCTAAAAGGTCTGTGCCACAGGTGGACCCCAGTGACTTACAGTGTTTTTCCAAGGTGAGGGTCAGGTTTTTCTAAGTAAAGTTTACTCCTTACCCCAACCCTCCGGTGTAGACTACAGTTTTGGGTTTAAACTACAAGCCTCACAAATATCAGGCACTTCTTAGGTCCTTGGATGAGCCTGCCATGAGGCTCTCTTGGGTGGTGTAATTCAAGATCTGGGGAAAGGGACCATTCCTAGAAAGCAGAACTACCGAAATCTTGAAAACATAATTCTCCAGTTTGGCCAAGAGGTTGGGATGTTTGAGCTTTTACAGGACCACCCAATTAAGAGCTTATTTGAAACTAGTGATCCACAGGATGTTAATACTGGGATAAACAAAGTCAAATAACTTTCTTTACTCTGTGTGGACTGCTAGGAGCATTTGCTGTGCTCATTAGTATTGTGAGTTGCTAAGCAAAGACATGGTCATGTAGCTTTCCCAAAATAGGAAACACTTTTTTTCCTGAACCTATTAACTGTAGTCAGTATTTCTTACAACACCTACTTGTGAGTCACTGAGTTAGTTTTCCCTATTACCCCCCTGATATCCCTCACCAAGATGGTTTTGGACAACATAAACTAAGTGGGACCTGGTAATACTCCAACCTTCAGGTCACCTGTAAATGGATCTTTATTTTCTAAACTGCTTATAGTTTCCTTTTTGGTGATTTATCCCATTATTAGTGAAAATAAGATAAACACAGTTCTTTTATGAAATGAAGCAGTCAAAATTATGTGGGGGAAATTTAAATATTGAAATGTTTTTACTGTTGAAATATCCATATATCTTATGTAGTAATATTACCAAATTAAAAAAAGAAATATATGGGAATAATATTGATATGAAATACTTTTAATTTAAATATGCAAAAAAAACATAAAATTAATATAAAAACAAGGTTAAGATAAAATTTCTGAAATAGGCCAAGATTATTTAAATAAAGACTTCAATTTACCAAATTTTTCTTTATCTCAGTTTTACCATACACTGTTCCTGCTCATCGCATGCCAACGATGAAACAGGGTAGCTTATAATATGAAAAACATGTATTACAACTGAGTCATAAGTTTGAAGAATGGCCACTTGCCCGTAGGCATGAATTTTGGAGGAAATGTATTTTCTAAAAGGATGATTTGTCAAAGGAATAGCAAGTATTTATTAAAAACATTAAAATGGTGAAAAACTGACCCTTAGGCAATGTACAGATTCATCACTCAGAAGCAAAACATGTATCAAATACATAATTTATTTTGAAACTAATCAGTTTTAATTACCTTTAGGTGAAGGACAAAATCTGAAAGAGAAAGATGCATTGAAAGAGTGACTTATGCATTCAGACTCTTCTGTTTTTACTGCATATGGCTTACCAGTTATTAAATATGGACCTCTCACTTGCATTTATATATTCACAAACTCAATCTTTTACTCTGCTAGGAGGCATTTTGCTGGAGTGTATTTGCTTTCCTTCCTAATATCAGCATCTGCTCTCTACTAGTATAACATCTCCTTATAGCCTAACAGTGGGATTCAAAGGCATGCTATCATTTTGATTCTTCTACAAGAGGAAAACAGCAACAGGTGCTTTATTTCCTGGAAAATCTTTCAGAAGCCAGGAACACTGGGAAAACTTCCAGAATGACTTATAGAAGGAGGGGGCTAAAACTGCCCCTACCTCTCCCTATATCTAAGAGTTGGTATAGCCTGAAAGGTAGGAAATAAGAAGGGCCTCCCCGCCCCCCCCCCCCCCCCCCCCCGCAGCCACCTCTTAGCTACTAGGCTAGAGAATATTTTTGCTTCAGCATTCCATAAATCTCTTAAGAAATAAGAAGGGAACTTGTGATAGCCATTTTGTTCACCATTCAGCAGTGACAGCAGCAAGCAAAAACAGAGTTTACTACAATAACAAGTATTTAGATCAGAACCTGGTACACAGGGCCACGTAAATGTTTGTTCATTAAAATGTTATCATAGGTTCTTTGGAAACACACTTGAAAGGGCTGCAATATACCATTGAGTAGATATAGTGTAATTTACCTAATCATTCTATCATTGTTTCAGTTTTTCAATGTTGTAAATATCTGTTCTTTGTAGTTTGTGTGCATTATTTTATCCGCTACAGCCTGTACCTTTTGGGAGTTATTGAAGCCATCAAGTAGCTCGGCTGTTACTGCAGAGGAGCATGGCTAATGGCCATGGCACTGCTGACTGGCAAGGAAATGGTTTTCCTAATGTCCTCATTTTATATCCTACTCAAGGCAATAGAGGTGGCCTATGAAAGTATAGCTCCCTTGAATCGAATATGTAGTATTATTGTTCTAGGCAGGGACACCTTCTGTTGCCAGCAGGTGGAAACATCTGAGAGACAAACCCATTATTGATGTAAACCTTCTCTTGGTTTCAAAAAGCATGCTGGATGCGAGCACAAAGCATTTCCTGAAGCGTAATGATCATGATTAAGGATGGCCTTCAGCAGACTTATGATTAACATTTCCAAGCAGGTCATTAATCTCCAGGAAATGTTCAGTGTGTTGATTACTGTTTGCTTAATTGAAGAAATGAATAATGTAGTAAAGGATGATTACATAAATTTGAAGAGACTGTTGTTCTAATATGCACAGCAGCACCCCCTAGTGAACACTTGGTAAATGTAAAAAAAAAAAGTTAAGGTTTTTATTTTTTATTATTTGATCTTAAGGAGGGGAAGGGAGGGAAGGCCCGAGGGTTGGAGGGAGAGAAACATTGATTGCCTTCTGGTACAAGGAATGAGGCTCTAACCAACTGAGTCACACCACCGGCCAGCGCAAGGTTCTTAAAATTGACATGTCAGTTTTTGATGAGCAAAAGAAAGTATCTTTTTACAAAAGGAAAAAAAAGAAACTAATATATTTTTAGAATGTGAAAACCCAGATTGATCTAAAGTCAATGACTTTATTTGGAAAAAATACTTAAAGTCTCATTTTTCAATAACACTATAAAATTTAACATTGTAACATTGAAAACTTCTGTTTTAACAAGAAAACTCTCTTCTGTTTTTGCAGATCAGAAAGGGTTCTTTGTTTGATATCATTTCCTTTCCAGCAAAGACTGCTTTAACTAGCATAATGTATGCTTCATACGCAGCACTAATTTATTTGGTAAGTTAAGCAAAATATTAGAATCTAGAAATAAATATCCTTATGTAAGATTAAAGGTATACTGTACATTCTACTCATAAATCACGGTACTATTCTCTTGTTACACAAAATAATTTTACATTAAAAATTTACTTCAATCTCTAAAAGCTAATTTGCTTAAATACCTTAAGTTATTTTGTTTTTATAAGGTTTATTACCACTTGGTCAAAATATTGTGGTTTTTGCTTTCATTTAGCTATAGCTGTTTTGTTTCAGCCATTGTGCCATAGTTGGCTAAAATTCAGTATTCCATTGTTTAAGTCTGTGATTTGGGGGAAAACAAATATTAGTGTGTTTTGAATTATGAGTGCTGTAAATTAAAAGTGTATTTTGAGTTACAAGTGCTGTAATTTAAAAGTGTTCATCAAAAGACTCACTTTCCTGGTGAAAAAAACACCCTTTTCCTATTGCCCAAGAACACTTATTATGTTCTTAATCAAGTGAACTTATATATGTAGGTATATCTGTAGACTCTCTGTTCTATACAGTTGATCTATTTCTCTATTCTTGTACCAATTCAACACTATGATTTACAGAAGCTTTATAATGTCTTAATAATTGACAAAAATATAAAAGCTTTTATAAATTATAAGGGATTATTTATTTTAATCTATTGCCATTTATACTTACCTTTAAAATTTTAAAAAATATATAACATACAAAGAGAAAAGTACGCAGCTTGAATCATCATAAAATCTATTAACCTATGTACCACACATGTCAAGGGAAAAAAAATTACTATCATTCTATCATTCTAGAAGTCTCTTTCTTGTCCCCCTCATAATCTCTAACCTTGTCTATAAAGGCAACCACTATTTTGACTTCTAACACCATAGATAGTTTTGTTTGCATTGTATATAAGTAAAATTATATACAACATATTCTTTTGTATTTGCCCTTTTTTGCTCAGCACTATCATTGCAACATTCATTTATTTGATGCTTGTAGCAGTGGTTTGTTGATTGTCATTGCTGTGTAGTATTCCATTAATTGACTCTATCACTATTTATCCATTGTACTGTTGAACATTTAGAATATTTACAGCTTTGGCTATTGTAAGGTGCTATGAATATTCTTGTACGTATGTTTTTGGTGAAATTGCTGGACCATAGAATATGCACATGTTCATCTTGTACAGATGTTGCCAGTTTTCCAAAAATGGTTTTAACAATTCATTCCAGGAAATTATAGAGTCCAGTAGCTCAACATCATCACCAACACTTGGTATTGTCAGTCTTTTCCATTTTAGTCATTCCTGTATATATGTGATATAATCATATTGTGGTTTTAATTTACATTTCCTTGATTATTAATGAGATTGAGTGGATTTTTATACATTAATTGGACATTTGAATGTCCTTTTTGTTAATTTCTGTTAAAGTATCTTCTTATTTTTCTATTAGGAATTGTCCATCCTTTTTATTTTTTATTGTACTTTAAAAATATATTAGGAACAAACCCTCTTTTGGTTACATATGGGAAAATTTATTTTATTCTATGACTTGCCTTTTCCTGTTTTATCAGTGTGTTTTAAAATGGAAGTTCTTACTTTTAATATAATTTAGTTTATTAACTTTTCCATTATGTTCAGAGATTTAAATATCCTAATTAGGAAATTTTTACCACATCCAAAGTCATGAAACTCTTATTTCTGATGCATTCTAGGAGCTTTATTATTTTACCTTTCACTTTTAGGAATTGGTATGAAGTAAGAGTCAAACTTTTTCTCCATGGGTATCCAATTGAACAGACTCACTTCCCTGGTGAAAAAAACACCCTTTTCCTATTGCCCAAGAACACTTATTGTGTTCTTAATCAAGTGAACTTATATATGTAGGTATATTTGAAGACTCTCTGTTCTATACAGTTGATCTATTTCTGTATTCTTGTACCAATTCAACACTATGATTTACAGAAGCTTTATAATAAGTCTTAATAATTGTCAGAATAAGTCCTCCTTTCAGCCTGTGAACATGGCATCTCTTTCTGTTTATTTAGGTCTTCTTTGTCTTAATCATTTTTACGGCTTTTTTGTTAGGTGTCTTGCACATTTATGTTAATATTTTTTATCATATTGAAACACACAGTAATAAAGACTAAAATTCCCCATAATCTAGATTCAGTGCAGTCCCAATTTAAATATGAGCAGGTGTGTGTAACTTGAGTAGTTAATTATAAAATTTATAGGGAATTACAAGGGGTCAAGAATACCCAAGATACTTTTTAAAAAAGTAAAAAAAAAACCAACTACTTAATTTTAAACACATATACAGGTGTTTTTTTTTTTTTAAAAGAACAGAGTTTATCAAATATTTTGAAAGTGTTTCAAATTTTTGAGATGTGTTCAATATCTTAAATGTGAATTTCATAAAAAATTGGCATTCAGTTCAGCTAGAATGCAGATACACTGCAAAAAATGGGTTGGATGAAATGGCTATGTTGAACAAAAAAAAAAAAGAAAGAAAGAAAAAAAGAAGCCTAAAACCAAAATTAAACTGTAATTTCCCAAAGGCTTTTGAAATAATCTCACATGATTTGTCATGTTATAAACATTCTAAGCAGGTAATAGAAACAATTTTTGGTTATCTGATAATTGGTCATATATGCATCCAAGCAAGACCTAGGAGTGGTCAGGTCTGGCATTATGGTTTTGAAGGCATATAACATATGTTGGAAATTAACACTCTGACTGGAACCATACCAAGTGAAAAGTTGACAGAAATATGAACAACATTAAGATGAGCTAAGAAATCCATTGAGATAAGGAAGCAATAATCAGAAAAGTAGGAAGAAAATCAGTGCAAAGGAAATAGACTCAGGAGGTTGAGATTGATAAGTGTAAAAACAAGCAGAAGTCATCAAGAAAAGTGAAGATTTTATTTCCATTAGATTTAGTAGTAAAGGTGTTGGAGGTAACCATCTTGAGAACTTTCCTTCATTTTCTAAAACTGGGACAGAAGTGGTTAGGATGGGGACAGATAAAATTTTGTAGGTGAGGGAAAAAGAAATATATCAAATAGGATAGGGCTTCCCAAACTTTTGTCATAGCATGGTATACACAGAAAATGATCATATTTGGGATAAATGCATGAAGCTGTCTGCAGCTGGAAGTGATGCACCTCAAGTTTTATAGCTCTAGGTTTGGACATACTCAGATGCAAGTAAAAAAATACCTGCAGTTGTCTTAATTGATAAAGATATTTAAATATCACTCTTAATTAAAAGTCTGGAGTTAGGCTGGCATTCCCAGGTTTGTACAATGGATTTACAATGTCATCATGAACCCAAAGCATTCTGTTTTTGGAATTGTATTTCTCTATATGTTTTGACACTTTCTTAAAGTACTAAATGGTATTTTTTGAGGGGAATTGGATCACGTTTATTTAGAAATCATTTAGCTTACTAAATTTTTACCAAAATGGTTGTGCCCTTCCAGTTGTACACACAGGTATAAGCAAAGTCCAGGGGCTACAAAAGCAAAAACAGAAAACCTACTGTGAGGTATTAACATGTTGGAGACATTTCATCTCTCAGAAGAAATTTTCATTTAATTAAATCAGGAGAATAAAGAAAATGTTTCATTTAATTAAATCAAAGGATAAATATATAGAACATTAATGAATTGAGAAAAAGGATGTAAAGCATATCTTTATTGAGTTATACTAGGTTTTAATTTTCTTTCTAGATTATGGTGCTATATATTTAGAACAAGGAATCAATCTCATGATGTTTGCCATGTGCCAGGGGTTCCAGAAAGGAAGTGCTTCTTTATTAGAATATGTAGATTAATAACTTTATATTAAACACTAGAGGCTCAATGCACGAAATTTGGGCAAGGGGCTCGGCCCTCGCCGCCCTGGCTGCCTCGGCCCTTGCGGCCCACTGCCTCATGGCCCCGCCCACTGGTCATTCTGGAAGGTCATTCCAGAAGGTCGTTCTGCTGTCAGGTCTAATGAGCATATTTGCTCTTTATTATATAGGACTTTATTGGACTTTTTATCTGCAAGTTTAGTAGCTTAAAAAGAAACTTTACTTTTCAATATTTTTTCATTATTAGACAGTCTGTGTTAATGCTGTTCTGGAGAAGGTAAAGAAAATTTTCCAAGAAGAAGAATCCATAAGGCAAAACAGAGAGGAGAGCAAACATCTTAGAAAATCCTTTTCTGAGCCTGCACTTTCTGAGCCTATGTTTCCCGATGGTGAAATCAAAGTGAAATCTTATTGTTCATTTCTGGATCAGCCTGACAATATTTCAGATTTTCCTGATAATATGCTGAGTAATAAGATCCAGGTTTTACATTCTGTGTTTGACCAATCAACTGAAATAAATGAATGAGCAAATCTGTACATAAATATCACTGAACAGCTTAAGAATTATCTATGTAATAACATTTCATCTGATAAAACTAGGAAACTAGTTTTCATATACTGACTACTCTGCTTTTTAAAAGGGTGGGGAGGAACTAATAAAATGTCATTCTGAAGTGTTTATATGGTAGAGAAAACAAAATGAATATGACTATAATTATTTTTTAATGAACATGAAAATTTACCCTTTGGTGGGTTAGACTTTATGCTGTGGTTTATAATATAGAAGTATGTACTGTATAATACATTTATGTTTTTATTAAAGGCTTGTTTTGAGTATCTTTCTAATTATTTTTCTGGGAAGGAAAAAAAACCTCTATCAAAATGCTACATATCTTTTTTTTTTTTTAATATATTTTATTGATTTTTTACAGAGAGGAAGGGAGAGAGATAGATAGTTAGAAACATCGATGAGAGAGAAACATCGATCAGCTGCCTCCTGCACACCTCCTATTGGGGATGTGCCCGCAACCCCGGTACATGCCCTTGACCGGAATCGAACCTGGGACCTTTCAGTCCGCAAGCCGACGCTCTGTCCACTGAGCCAAACCGGTTTCGGCGCTACATATCTTTTTATGGATATTTTTCAAAGGATATTTGTTTTCTATCTACAGGCTAGATAGTTCTGCCTATTTCACTTCTTTTGTAACTCATCTATAAAGTATGACTATTTTGCAATTCATTGTTGTCAGGAATGTATGAAACAATGTTATTTACAAATCTGATGAGAAGATTTCTGTACATGAGGACAGGACTTGATATGACATTTTTTATTTCCAGATTAGAGTAACAGATCTAAAGCCAGAAATCAAGTCCATATTACTCATTGTTGCCACTGGATCCTGAGAGAAAATGCTCTATAATTGAGCCTGCAAACTAGAGCCATGGCTTTGCCTGTAGGAGGTACTGAGGTTTATTCCATGAATTAAAATTCTGGCCACATTTTAAGACCTGCCTGGTCATTGGAGGACTGGCACCTGATATAATAGGCTGGGATGTGTCCATCCTAGAGATGGTACATTTCCTTTACCTGGTGAGTAGCTACTGTCATAAACAATCCTATCTAATAAAGAGGGAATATGCTCATTGACCCTCATGCCGTCGAAAAGATGGTGGCACCCACAACCAATAAGGAGGGATTATACTAATTGACTGCTCCACCCTTAAAGATGGCGGTGCCCACAGCCAATAAGGAGGGATTATACTAATTGACTACCCTGCCCTCAAAGATGGTGGCGCTGACAGCCACAAGATGGCGGCAACCAGTCCCCTCAGCCCCCCAGCCCCCCAGCCCCCCAGGCCAGGTGAGTCCCTTAGAATGCTAAGTATTAGGTTTGGAGCTATAATACGATCCTATGCCAGTAAGAAAACTGCTGTGCTTTGAGACGAGGTTTGTTTTTCTCCAAATTCATATTCTCCTATGAATAGCTAGGTCTTTCTGTTTTTACTTGTTCTTATATCCTATGTGCTGCCAAGTTTTAGATGACCAGCACCCCAGGAATTACTGGTATAGTACAGGCACCAGGCAACCAGAACAGCATTGGCCAAAAATAATTGGCAGGGTAAACCATTTCACATCAACTCAGCAGAAAGGATTCTGAGGAATAACACCCTACATCTCTTCCCTCTGTAACATTTACATGAAAAATAAAAACATGATTACTTGAAAATTTCATATAGGCATTCAAAGTACTTTTGCTCACTGAATAGGAGACTTCACATCTCCCATGGCCGGGCAGCAGCTATGAGTGTCTTCCTATGTTGAGACTATGTGTCTTGACCAGAGAGAAACTGAACCAAGATTTATGTGGCTTTGATGTTTAGCACATTGATAAGCTTCATATTTTTAAATTCAGCATTTCTGGAGGCAATTTTTAAGTGTAAAAAGTCTGCTGTATACATATTTAAAAAGACAGAAGTTAAGATTTAAGCATTTCAGTGTATTTATATTTTACCTTAAAAAGTAGTAACAACAATCAAATAGGAGAGGTGAGGAATATGTGGAGGTATCAATGAAACAAGAATGGAAGACTGCTAAAATTGCTGAAGTTGGGTGGTATGAGTTTATTATATAATTCTGTTTACTTTGCATATATTCAACTTTTCCATGATAAATAAAACCCGCTACGTCAAGGACCACCCCAATTTTTCTTAATAGATCTTATTTTATACCTTTTCTTCATTTTAGTTCAAATTACTTTCATCCTTCTTTAAGTGCACATACCAGGCCTATGCATTTTATAGATTTCATACTCAGTACTTATGCTTTTGAATCTTTCAGAACTGTATGATTTTTAAAGATAAGTAATGTGCCTATGTTGGAAAAAAGTAATCATCTTTGGTATTGAAGCAAGGTTATTTTTAAAACATACACACTTTTCATTGCCATATAATTTTATCAGGAAGGACTCTTAATTACTTTGAAGTTTCCAGTGGCATAAAAATCTGAGTCATACTTAACAGGTTCATTAGAAAGAGTCACATAAATATTCCCATTGTCCACTTTCACTGTATGAATCCTTTGCTTTATTCCTTTGGAACACCACTTGGGTTTTGCTGATGGGTCTTTAGGGTTTATAGACTGATATAGTCCTTCTCCTGTTGCCAAAGTAATTTTGAATTTATGCCAGGGGCAAACTATACACGGTCGTCCATCAAAATCCTAGGGAAGGAAATAATTGATTTAATAGTCTGATATTTCCAATGTTCACAATAAACCTCAGACTCAGCACGGAATCTATTGCAGAAGAACCAGGTTAAAGAACAAGACAGCTTTTCTTTTCCCTCCCATTTAGAAATTATTTAGCATAAGGCAGGATCTAATCTTAGCAGTTATCACATCTGTTTTGCTATTGATGAGAAGATAGACCTCTGCCAGAAGATTATTAGCTCAGCAACTATACCTATTGCTGCAGCTGTGCTGTTACCTATTAGATGTCAATGTTACTTCCTTGACAGAAATGAGGCAATGGCTTCAGATGCTTCTTAAGGAATTTTCACTAACTGCTGGGAGAATGGTAAGCTTCAGATATAATTCAAGAGAGGTTACTAAAAGCATGAGTGCATATATTAATTGAAGAGCAATTTACGATCCAAAGTAGTCAATTCTCAACTTCTTAATTGTATTAAAAACGGTGCTTCTCAAATTTAAAAGAGCACAGGAGTCACCAACATTCTGTTTAAATTCAGTAGGCCTAGGGTGGGTGCAAGATGCTGCATTTCCAAGAAGCTTCCAAGTGACACCAATATTTCTGGTCTATGGAACATACTTTGAGTAGCAAGGTCTTAACAGCTCTCATGGTCTGTCATGGTCTGAAATTGGGAGAAATTCTTCCACATTTATCAGCACCAGGTGCTTACATTTTTTAAACACCAGAAGTGCTGGAATACTGACATTATATCCCCACAAAACTGTTGGCAAAGATTCATATTTCCATAAATTATGAATTAATATTTTCATAAATTATTAATTATAAATTAACATTCATAATTTAAATACACATCCTTTTACATGAGGACATGAGGGCAAGTGGGGAACTAGGTAGATATGAAGTGTAGAGAGAGCAGAACACTAAGTTTAAGATTGTACTTTGTACCAGTCAGAGAAAGTGAGAGAGAGAGAGAGAGAGAGGGCTATCAGTTTCATGAAATGGAAAAACATAGTATTCCATAGCATGGCTATTTATAACTTATTTAAACGGCTTCCTATTGTTAAAACATTTAGGTTACTGTCATTTTTAAAAAAATATATTTTTTATTGATTTCAGAGAGGAAGGGAGAGGGAGATAGAAACATCAATGATGAGAGAGAATCATTGATTGGCTGCCTCCTGCAAGCCCCCTACTAGGGATTGAGCCTGCAACCCGGGCATATGCCCTTGGCCGGAATCGAACCTGGAACCCTTAGTCGGCAGGCCGACGCTCTATCCACTGAGCCAAACCGGCTAGGGCTGTCATTTTTTATTACAATAAATAATGCTACAATAACCATCTCCTATATACATTTAAACATTTGTGCAATTATATCTGTAGAGTAGATATCTCAGAGTGTAATCGCTAGGTCAGAAGACATACATAGTTCTCACATTTGTCTGTGAAATGGTTTTCTTTACATTGTAGGGCTGAAAATTCCTAAAATATTAGCAATTATACTAGAAGCATTAAAGTATAGTGCAAAGACAAATATAAATTATTTTTGACTACGGAATAAAATAAGAATATAAATAGAAAACATTTGAGTTTTTTGAGAATAGATTTAATCTTACATACCTCTATTTCTCCCAAATGTAAAGGTCCTCCTGAGTCTGAAAAGAAATTGAGTATTAAATCTAGTCACTAACAAAACCCCCTGAAATTTTGATAGCTTTGTGGTTAGCAAACAAGTACAAGATTTACAAATAAAAAAATAAAATCTTACGGTAACAGCGAATATCCATAGCATGATATTCTCCTTTGTGGTAGAAAATGACCACTTCTCTATCATGGACAACAGCTGTCATCCTTTCAGATTTCTTAATGTCATCTTCTCTGCCAACATAGACAGAAGAATATTCCGCCTTCATTTCAGGATCTTGTTCAGGGCTACCAAGATCCATGCTAGCTGAGCCAACAAGAAAAAGGAAAAAAAATTGTAAGTGGCCTTCACTAGTCAGACTATAACTTAACTCACAGATAATCACATTGTAAGAGAAGTCTGATTTCTCTGAGACTGATAGAAGCATTTTTTGTAGCTATATAATACATTTTAAAATACTGAATTATAGTCATGATGTTGAGTTACTGACTTTTAAAGCTTGCCAAAATTAGGGAGGACTCCTCACTTTAAAGCTGGACTTATATTAGATTCATTTCAGTGTGTAAGGTGGATATTTCAGAACTCTTAAAACACAAGACTAAAGTTTCACTACCCTTTTGTTCCCGATCGAACTCAATGCTAAACATTTGGTTGTTATCCTGTTGAATTTAGGACTCCACGATAGTCTGGATAGTCTTGGACCTCTAGGCTGAGGTGTATCACTTTCCCCCGCTTCTTTATGTATTGGTTTTGGGTGTATAGCTCAGTGGTTAGACAATCATAATGTACATAGCGTTTCCCTCAATATTTCCAGTACCTCAACTGGCACCATACATAGTTACACAATATTATTGACTATATTTCCAAACACCAGTTCTCTCTTTGGGTCTATGAGTCTGTTTCAAGTTTGTTTGTTCATTTATTTTGTTCTTTAGATTCCACACATAAGTGAAATCATATGGTATTTGACTTTCTCTGATGGACTTATTTCACTAAGCATCATACCATCTAGATCCATCCATGCTGTCTCAAATGGTAAGATTTCCTTCTTTTCCATGGCTGAATAATATTCCATTGCAGATAGGAACCACAGCTTTTTTTATCCACTGGCCTATTGATGGGTACTTGGGATGCTTTCATAGGTTGGCTATTATAAATATCGCTGCAATGAACATAGGGGTGCATATATTCTTTCAAATTTGTGTTTTGGGTTTCTTTGGATAAATCCCAGAAGTGAAATTGCTGGGTTGGCTCACTTGGTTTTGCCTAGCATGGACAGCCAGCTAGGCAGATCAACCAGACGACTATTCTAGCAGAAGGGGATGGGTATGAATGAACACTTCTTTCTTAAATCAGAAATTGTCATTACTTTCTTCTGCCTCATTTGGGCATTCAAAGAGATGACTTCTCTTCAGTTAATTTACAGCAGTATGTAAACTCATATTGCCAAAGATTTAGTAGAGAATGTGCAGGTGGTATAAATATATTTCTTCTCATCCCAGATATTTAGCCTATTGCTTTGAAAGCAACCCTTTTAAGGACACCACCTGTATATTTTAAGAACATAGTCTTCAGGCCTTCTAGTGGTTTCTCTAAATACTTATTTAATCCTGTATGACTGACTAGAAGTTTGAAAATGTTAGTAGGAACAGAGCATTGGCTCATTTAGTTATTGAAAAAATTTGAGGTATAACTGACATACACAACATGTTAGTTTTGGGTGTACAACATAATGATTTGATATTTGTATATATTGTGACATGATCGCTGCAATAAGTCTAGTTAATACCAGCAGTATAGATAATTATGGAATTTTTTCTCTTATAATGACAATTTTTAAGATTTACTCTCTCAGCAACTTTAAAATGAGAGGATAGCTCATTTAAAAAATAAATTCAGTCCTGGCCGGGTGGCTCAGTTGGTTTAAGTGTCATCCCATATACCAAAATGTTTGCTTCCCCGTGAGGACACATACTTAGGTTTCAGATTTGATCCCTGCTTGGGGAGTATATGGGAGGCAAGTGAGCCATGTTTCTCTCTCACATTGATGTTTCTCTCTCACATCGATGTCTCTCCCTCTCTAAAAAAAAAAAAAAAAAAAAAAAAAAAAAATCAATAAAAACATATCCTCTGATGAGGATCAAAAATTAAAAAAAAAAACACACACACCAACAAGTTCATAAAACAAATGATTAAATCATAAAACAAATGATTAAAATGTAAAACCTCTATGTGAATGTGAAGAAATGAGCTTTAGATAGAAGGGATTTATACACTATTTTGAAGTTAGTTCTGAGCCATAAGGAAGATAGATATTAGAGCCGGAGCTCCAAAATTGAAGTATAGGATGAGCACTGTCCCTCCCTCCCTTACCCCCCCCCCCGTGTGTGTGTGTGTGTGTGTGTGTGTGTGTGTGTGTGTGTGTGTTGATGGGAAGAAGCAGGAGCTTTAAATTCAAAGTATAAGGGAAAGCATTATTACACAATCAAGTTTAGGGAATTACAGACATGTCAAATTTGTGCTCTGATGTTAGTGTTGTTAAACTTTGCTCTAACTAACCTAGTTACTTTTTTAAAGAATGAGAAAAGCACATAAGCTATTTTTGAAAAATTATTTCATCATAATAAAAGCAAAAAATATAGTGTTGTTTTTTTAAAGACCATGATTTTCTGAATACTACATCTCTAAACAGTTTGGAAGCTACCCAAAGTACACAAATTGCTCATGTGGTAGTAATTACCTCCACAGTGTTGGACGGACGTGCAGCCCTTTATCAGAACAGCCCTTTATTTTGTGACAGAACAGACAGAAGGGCAATAATGATAAGAAAAATGGGAACAGAAAGATGAACTGAAAGGGGGGAAAACAGGCTGAAGAAAAAGAAAGAAATAGTGGAATTTGCAACACATTTAACCAACAAAGGATTAAGATTCAGAATATATGAACTATAAACCAGAAAGAAAATACCAAATAGTCATAGAAAAATGGGCAAAATACAGAACAAACATTTCACAGATGAGGAAATCTGAATGGCCACTAATCACATGTAAAGATGCTTCACTTTATTAGTAGGAAAACGTAAATGAAATGAAAAGCAAAGTAACACATGGGATACTATTTTTTACCCAACAGACTGGCAAAAAATTATACCAAGTATTGGCAAGGATACGGAGCAACTGATAGTGATGACATCAATTAGTGCTCCCCACAGCTTGGCATTACCTAGTAAAGTTGAACATATTCATGACCCAATAACCCTACTTTCTGTGTATTATAAACATTTACAGGTACACCAGGGGACATGCACAAGAAAGGTTACAATAGTAAAACTGGGCAGGAAACAACTCAAAATCAATCAACAGTGAAATGGATAATTTTTTTGTATTCAGTCAATGGAATGTAGCAGTAGTATGGCTATGTCAGTTTGGATTTAAAAAATATAACTTTAAATGAAAAAAATTTAAAAATATTTTAGAGTATGCTTTCATTTTTATCAAATGAAAAAACAGGCAAAGCCAAAAATATTATTCATGGATACTGTATAAAGTGTAAATGTATAAAGAAAAGCAAGGAGATTGTAAATACAAATTTTCTTAAACATCTCAAAGTATTACATTTGGTCTTATATTTGAAATTATTCTTTTTCAAAATTTATGTTGTATCCTACTTTATAATTATGAGCCAAATAACCCAAAAATCCAAGAAAAATGGGATAAAATAGCACTTTCTATCCATAGTGGATGTGCCTGTGCATTGAACATTAATGGACTATTTGAGAATTTCGTACAGCTGATTTCAAAACTGGGCGTTAGAGGAGGAAATAAATGAATAGTTCTCTTTCTTTTTCCAGGCAAAAGCTAGAAAAGAAATACTAGTATCAAGCAAGTAACAAAATACATGAGATGTGGAGTAGCATCAAAAGTTAAATAAGTTCTCTCCCACTCCCAAATAAATGAGAACCAAATACAATCCTCCCTCAAGTTTCAGTTTCTTAGAACATGCAGTCTTTGCAGGATTTTACCCTCAATTAGAAAAGAATAAAATATCTGTAGTGAGCTTTGCAGGGGCTGATAAGAAATGAACAGAGAAAGCTGGGGCTGATGATAAAGGTTTCAGAGAACTATGATTATAGTCTTCCATTTTGCTTAGGACACTATTACTTCATCTTTCAAACAATTCTTCCCTCTGTGCATCATAAATGGTTCTATTTACTTATGATATCTGGTGACTAGACTTAACACCCATATTATTATTAACCATATTGTGAGCGTCATGGTTGGTCCCTTCAGAGGCAATGTATTCACCTTAACTACTGTTACTCTGATGCACTATTCGGATGCTCCACACATTTCCTCTATTTTGAATCAACCTTAAGATAGTAGAGTCTTAGCTGAATAAAAAGAAAGTGAAAAATTAAACAGGGTACCCAGTTGGCGGGATAGATGAAGATGTCCTTCTGAAAAAAATTTAGCCATTTTGTTCCACGGTTTACTCTGAGAAATATTTTTTTTTTTGACTTGTGCCTAAAATTGGGTTTCTAAAGGTGTTGACACCACATAAAATCCCAAATTAGTTAAATGGACCCCAGTCTCTATTAGCTACCTTTCCAGCATAAGGAATGCATTCAGGTTAAATTAAAAATAGACATTAACTCAGTTTCCATGGCACTGGAGACAAAAAGAGAGATGAGATTAAAGGAGCTTGTTCTTCCCCTTGAGCACTGACCACGATGCTTTTCCTAAGTCTGGAGACTTGGCCTACATATTGTCAGAATATATAGCTCCAGGGCATCCCCTTGCTTTTAGGGCCGGAGAAGAGAAATGCCTTTGCAGTAGTTTTGTGCCATCTCTTTGGGTGGCAGATAACAGGGAACTAGCGCTCTTTCAGTGAGTGCCAATGGCTGGGCTCTGTGCTTATAGAAACTCGTTCATCTTCACAAACCCCCTGCGGTACTGTATGTTCCAGACGAAGGAACTAAGGGTAAAGGGCTCTTTTTTAACAAAAGCTTCCTCAAACTCACAAAGTAGCAGTCAACATTCAAACCCAGATCCGATGAGTCTAAACTTGTGAACACTGAAATATGAACCTTAACCTTTCATCGAAAGAGTCTCCGTGGACTTATAAAAACACGTGGCCTGCAAGTGAACTCTGAGAGTTACCAAACCGTTTAGCAAAGTAAAAATCTCTCTCTCACCACATAGATCACCAAAGATGGTGGTCCTCCGTTTTATAATTTAGGAACGCTAATGTGTTAAGAGTTGTGAAAAGAAATGTTTAAAAAGGAACATTTCCCCCGATAATTTAATAAAGTCGCACAGCGTCATGGAACCGGCTACCACGCCTGGGACGTTAGGGATGAGACCGCCAGGGAGCTCCCTGCAGGTGAACCCCGCCTCTGCCGAACAGGTGTCTCCGGCCCGGCTCTGGAGGGGGCTGCGCGCT